CATCAAATTGAAAAAAGTCGAGAGGGGGGGGGGAACAGAAGAGTGTTTCAAAGATGTAAGAGACAAACACAAAGGTAGAACAAAGGTGAGGTGAGTACTGTGAAAATAGGCTAATATGGCATACAGTGAGGTGATGGTAGTTTGGAGTCAGAAGTCAACTGCCGGATAATAGACTTTTTTGCCGTATGAGCATACGTTGCCCAGGGTGCACCACGTGGAGGTAAGTCTATCGCACACCCCTTATTACTAGATCTATGAGGAAGCTTCCACCAACCTGATGTCATGTTTAATCATATTCCAATTAAAATATATATATTTGCATTTCATTTGACATTGACTGTCAACTCGAATTAGTATTTTTTTCTTATCCCAATCGTAGTGTTATAAAGATTTTCTTTGGCTTAGAACCTGCAAATGCAAGAAAGTAACATTCTTTTAGGTTAACAATGCTCATTTATATTTATTGTCCTTTTGATTATTTATTAAAAAAGGAAGCTGGATGCATCATAGTTTTGGTTATTCGTCCCACCTAAAATATCTCCTATCAATACCAATGTCCTTAATTGTGAACAGGTTGCGATCTGCCCATATCGGGATATCGTATGTTTTCTGAGGCAGAGCAACTTTGAAGTATGATTTCATTAATTATTTCGCTGCTCTAATATTGGGTAATGAACCTGCAGCCACAACTCCTCCAACCTCTTTTATTAGTCATACGTGGTAATTATGATCGACCTCTCGGCGCCCTAATGGGAATTGAACCCATGACCTCAGATGCTTCGTAGTGGAGCTTATTTCCCGCTGCGCACCACCAGCGAACACAAATGAATATAGCAATAATTCGGCCATATTTTAATTTTGGAAATGTCGAGCGTAATAAGGGTCGCGTTTGCTTCCAACTGTTCATATCTGGCTTTTCTACTTTGAGTTATAAAATATGCTTAGAATCTAGGCTCTCTGTAATGAAAGGCGTTTTCTATTAGCTAGCTAGTTAAAAGTGAAAAGAGTGGTAAACTTAGAAGTCAATTTGAACTCTTTTATTCCTTGTTGTCCGAATCCGATCACACTGAGTGGGTGGGTGAGAGAGTAAACAAATCCTTAATTAATGGCCGGGAAAACTTGGTTCGGTTTGTAAGGGAAGATTTTGTGAATTATCTGAAACCCACCAGTATTGGCGGTTTTCAAATTGAATGACTTCAAGGTGTCTATTTTGCTACCTCTCGAGAGATAGACTTACCTCCACGCGGTGCACCCTGGGCAACGTATACTCATACGGCAAAAAAAGTCTATTAACCGGCATTTGACTTCTGACTTCAAAATACCATGGCCCAACTGCTTGTCATATTCGACCCCTTTCACAGTACTCATCTTACCTTTGTCCCTACCCTTATGTCTGTCTGCCTCTTNACTTGGAATTTCTGTGACTGTCCTAAATTTAACAAATTGCTTTGACAGCCAGAAATTCATATGCTGTACAATGAAACTGAGAGAATAAAGTAAGCATATACTTGCTTAACTCTCTCTCTCTCAATTATAGCGAATGAGCGAAATAATAAAATTTATTTATTTATTTATTTCAAATGGCAGGCGTTTTGATAGCTATCATTAGCCATTTAGCTGACTTCGGGCTTCACAGAGGGAAGGTTCATCAAAGTAGTAGAAAGTCGAGGGGCGGGGAACAGAAGAGCGATTCACAGATGTAAAAGAGGC